TATACACAGGGCGCACTATAAACAGGGCGCACTATAAACAGGGCGCACTACAAACAAGGCGCACTATAAACAGGGCGCGCTACAAACAGGGCGCACTATAAACCGGTGCACTATAAACAAGGCGCACTACAAACAGGGCGCATTACAAACAGGACGCACTATAAACAGGGCGCACTATAAACAGGGCACACTATAAACAGGGCGCACTATAAACAGGGCGCACTATAAACAAGGCGCACTATAAACAGGGCGCACTATAAACAGGACGTCTGCAGATTAGCTGCTACTAGGAAATGTAAGAACTGGGTATTATTGGTCAATGGCCTTAACGAATTAAGCGAGATAAGCGATTAAAAAAAGGCAAAGGTAATATATTTTACTTCGAAACCGCGGGGAGCGATCGCCCAATTCTCCCAAGTCGGAGGCTCATATTGTAAGCGTTCTAACGTTTTCCCTCTACCCTCTCAGAATATCAGTGCTCCATATAACGATATATGAAGATACACAGAACAGAGAGAAATCAAACAGTCGTGGAKATCCTRAGGATCGAACCATGGACCTCTAGCTCTGAAGGCTTCCGCAATAACTGAGCTACGCCTGGCTCCTGTTATATATAAAATACTGTTCATGACTCAATAACAGCAAATGAAACTCAAAACGAAGATGCCTTTTATAAATAAAAGTTTTCAGAAGAGCTCAAAGATAACGCTAGAAACTTTTTTAACAAATAAAACTATCGAAATAGAACTGGGATCGCATGCAGCAACTGAAAGAACACATAACTTACCTATCGTTTTCATATATTCCACATTTCAAATATTTATACGAATCGTTAATTTAAGTCATATYATGTTTATACTGCCAAGGCGTTAAATTTCTAAGAATGTAATAGGTTAGAATTTTTAAACACGTGCCTAAAGACCTTTACGTATTGAAACCACACAACAATTTTGGGTTACCTGTGTCGTACCTGTGTCTTCAATTAGTTGATTTTCGGTCTATAACTTAAACGACTTGGGCTACC